AACGACGCCTAGACCACTAGTACGACTTGTGTATTCTATGGACAAGATGTGCGGCCAGCGGAGAAAAAAGGCCGAATATGTAGCCATAACTTTTCGCATGTATTAATGTCAAGTGGCGCTTTTCTTCTTGGTCGAGCGTACGTGTCAAAGCAAGCAAAAAAGTAGGAATTAATCAGAGCATCTTTAGGCCCTCGAGGTTGCGTTAAATTGGAGAAATTTATTATGCGTACGCTTACATCTTTGGAGCGTTGGTTTCAAAGTCCTTTGCCGCGCGTGCTGATGTTGCTTTATGCCGCGCGCTGCCTGTGTGTGTGTGCTTGCGTGTGTTACCATTGCAGCAAACAACGTTCAAAGCGAGGCATTTCCTGCCTACGTATACGTCGGGGTCTGGCAGTAGCAGAGCGAGTAACTCAATAAGACGCCGCGCGCGCGAGCGCATTGTATTACAAAGGCTAAACGCGAATCAAAGTCCCTAAATGCGCGCGTATACGTGTACCGTACGCGTGGTTTATACGCGCGAGCACTTTTTTTATAAACTATATCAAAGACCATAGGGCTTCGGGTTGGCAAAAGCACATGCACGCGCTGCTTTTATGTAAACAGGCCACTTTCGCGATTGATGGAGAGAGAAACAGAAAGAGAGAGAGAGAGCAAAAGAGTGGGAGAACGAATGATGTATGTCTACGAACTATGTCAGGAAGGAGGGTTGGATTTAGCACCTGTGTAATTTTTCAGTCTGGCGCGCTGCCCGGCTTATTGAAATGTGACGGTTCTTTTGATCGACTCGAAAACGAAGCTGCTGCACGCGTCGTCTATAATACAATATTTAGTTTTCGTTAAAACTTGATTTCAATTTCTGGATCCTTGAAAACGATCCCTATCAGCCCGGCCTGTGTTGTATATATCGCACCCCGCCTCGTATGTTGCACAATACATTATTAATGCACGCGTGTATACGTGTAGCATGTAGGATGTAGCAGAAAAAAGTACACACGTATTTTATGATAAAGAAAAAAGGTCCTCATGCGATATTTGCGAATATAAGCTGCTGCTGCTGCTGCTGTGCGAGGGATATGGCGTCTCTCTATAAATCACGTTAATAAACAGCAGCAACAGCAGAGAGCGGCGTGCCGTCTGGAGAATGCGCGCGACATGCATATGCACACGGAACAGTAACAGCAGCAGCCTTCATGCATATAATCCCAACCTTTTTCTGCATGTGCGCGTGCATCACTGCAGACATGGCGTGTGTGCTTCTGAATTTCTGACTTTGTTTTCACTTTTTTACGACTCGAATGCCAGCTGCGCGCCGAGCCAAATTTCGCTTCTCCCGATACTATATCCTTTCCATTATTTCTACCGTACTGCGCGCCGCCGATTTCATACCACTATATTTCTCAATATTACGATGATACAAGAAATTCAATCGAAGTTTTCGGTGTACATAATCATAAGCTGCAGAAATGGAGCGTGGAACACGATAAAGTGACGCGCACGTCTTATTATTGTACATCAGTCATAGCTCGAGTCGCGAGGGGGTATAAGCCGTAAGGCGTGTATCGTCGAGTCGTGTCATTTTAATCGCTCGTGACACGAAGCGATATTTTCTCTCGGCCGCTGATTCTTCAACTTCTTCTTGCTTGAAAAGCTCCTATGTGCGTAGCTGCAGCAGCAGCAGCAGTAGCAGCGTGACGGACGAGTGACTAAATCGTTCTTAAAATTTGATCAGTCACCAAACGAGTACGCAAAGCCACCTATATGCACCGCGCCGCTCGTTTCTGCGCTGCCGTTTTTTTCCCTCGGCCGTCTCATCTCGAGCTCGTTCGCAATTTTTTGCCGCTCCACTGCTCGGGCTCATACTTACACATATTATATACGCGCAGCGGAAAAATAAAAAAAGAAGCCCTTGGCGTCTCTGATCTCACCGCTCGCGCGAATTCGTATGATATAGCTTCGGATTTTGAAGTTGTTTATCTACTTATTATGTCAACACCAGCTAATTGGACCTTGGACGGGAGGTGCACGCTCGAGCATCTGCACGAGCCTCTACATACATCGAGAGATATTCCGCGTTTTTGTCCCATCGGCACTCATCATGGCGACAAGCATTGTCCGATTCTCTCACGCTTTTCTTCGCGCTCCGGCAGCTCGGCCGACTCGCAGCATCGCACGCACGCAGGCATAGCACGATGTACCCCAACACATACGTGTGTACGCGCAAAATCTTATCTGGCTCGCTGCTGTATGTGGCATGTACAAACGTACATGCGTTCAACATCGTCATTTCAAGATGATATCCGGACGAGGAGCCCGAGAAAGACGAGGCGAGACGTGAGCAGCTGCATACCTCGCGATGGTCATCGCGCGTCCTTCGTGCAAGTCGTGCATGCAAGCGTATATTATGATCGTACGTATGAATCCTGGCGTCGCTCTCGATCCGTTCGTATTTTTGAATGTACATAAACGTGTGACTGCGGGTATCCCCGTACTCTTATTCTCCAATACCTTTCGAACAAACATTGCCAAGAGCTCCAATGTGTCTTGTCATGCCTTTTTATTATCGTGTGCTAATTTTCATGATCTTTGATCATTGATTGTGGTTTGTGATTTGGCTGAGATTAACAAAATCTATTTGCAATTTTCATCTAAACCAGGACGTCCCAGTCGTTTCGTGTAATGCAATACACCGATGAAGGCTAGAAGTGACGCAAAGAAATCGTTCTTTCAGCCGCTTATGGGCGATTAATCCATCCGGAAGTGACAGAGAGTGTGTTGTGCGTCTGGTATATCTTGACAGGTGGTCATATTATTCGTACACGAGCTTGGCATACACAATGAGCCCGCAGCTTTTCCTCGCAGCTTGGCTCCTATACAGCCTCCGTGCTTTAGACGAACGAACGAACGAACGAGCGAGGCAACGAGACATTTGTCGATTTAATAATGGAACGGTATAGCTGTAGTGGATTCAGAAAAGAGAAAGAGAGGAGGGAGACAGTCGAGCTTTATATTTTAGTCGGCGATGTAACGACGCATTACGATTTTTCCTCCTCACTTCTACGTAGCATTACGGGCGAAGCGAGAGAGAGCGAGAGAAAGAGAGAGAGACGAAGGGAGAGGAAGGAAAGGGCCTAGCATATACGTGAGTGGCATTTGCGAGGGTGAAGAAGGCACGGAGAGCGTGCGCAACACGTAATCTATTTGTCGGACGACCATGGCGTATACAGTACAGTAGACTAGTGGCAGACTACGGTGGAAAGGCCAAATTCGAGCCAGCGGGGGTTACTTCGCGCCTACGTAGTTGCTTTATCTGCCTGCCTGCGTGTAGATGTGTGCTGCTGCGTGCGGTTGCGGTAGCATTTAATACGCAAGCAGCACCAGAAGCTGCTGCTGCTGCTGCTGCCTTAATTGCATTGCCTCGCTAAGCGAATGCATATTCAATTGCGCCTAAAGGAGAATGCATGCAAAGCACGAAATTAGCTTTTTGGCATTCTTATTCGGATCCGATTTATGCGCTCGCGCGAGATATGCTGGTAGTGGCCTGAACTACACGAGCGAGCGAGCGTCAAAGAGCAAAGGGTTGCGCGACGACGATCCTCTATATTATGTTGAATGATACTCGATCGAGCAACGACTGTACAGAGATGATGCCACATCCTGGCGCAGCTGTCGCTTATTCAGATTTCATGAAGTCATGAAGCACAATGCGAAGGGGAGCAATGACGTTTATGGGTGACGCTACTCGTCTTATATGTACTGCAGTCGTGTTATGAACATCTTTATGAATATTGAACGAGTAATATGTGCCACTCGCGAGCCCGCAATACATCTTGATTGAGAATCATGAAATTCGGTAATCGCTTGATGAATGCGAGGCTGCGCGCGCTAACCCCGCGCCTGTTTATGCTTGCGCGCGCGGATCTCGCGTATATAGTTATAAGATTGAAATAAGCTCGATGCAATTAGACGATTAATTCGATCTAGCCCGAGCCACCGCACACGCGCGGTGTAATGCCCGCACATAACTTCAACCGAGGCTTCAATTATACACCCAACTTTGGAATCATTAACTCCCGAGCTCTGCGTCGGGCTAAATGCAAAGCTGCCGCGCGCGCGTGCACCGGGGAAAGTCCAGGAAAAATTGCTGCGATAATTAAGGCAAAGTTTAATGTTCCAGCAGGGGAGCAGCAGACTTGTACGCGTATTATTATGTGCAAGATGTGCGTGTGTTTGTGTATACGACGACGACGACGACGAGCGTGCACACACACACACGCACGCACACTTGTATAGCAAGCTCAACACACAGACACCCACGAACGAGTGGTGGACCGGTTTGCGCGCTTGCAAGGAAAAAAATGATTAAATCCTGCAAAGGTCGTTGCATAAATATACCAATATAGGTATACTTGTACCTACACCGCATACATATTTATATGAGTAGATTGAGCACTACTAGCAGTGCTGTATACAGCCGCTGCTTATAAATTAATTACCGACGCGCGTTAACGATCGCCGGTAGCCCAATGAGTACTACTACACTGCTTGTGTAGCTGTAGTAGCAGCAGCAGCAGCAGCAGCAGCAGCGACTTATGCGAGCGCCTGTGTCGGCGGTTGTGCGCTTCCATGCCGTTGTTGGCTGTATACTGTATACGTTATGTAGCCGGTGGTGAGCTCGCATTTTTACAAGAGATGAGTAATTCATTGATAAACTTCGCAATTACGCGCGGTGTGCGCTGGCTCGCAATCCCGATACACGCGTCTCTACCCATATCGTGTAATTTTATCGACCTTTTTGATTTCGTTATTTTCCGTATTCGGCTAGGGGGCCGCCGATTAAATTTTTGCCGAAAAACACAGAGAGCGAGGGGGAGAGAATAAAAATGTAATGAGTACTAGATTATCGCGATTAATATTGCGCTTACCCCCGTGATCCGCTGTGCGATTAGGCTGCGGTTCGCTATAGCAGCGGTCGTGCAGGGAGCGCTGGTCAAGACACTTACCCATCATCATCGCTGCATCTGAAACATAAACGAGTACAGGCTATTGTTAGGCGCTCGAGAGAAACGACGTGCACAATACTATAGATTTTTCATCGGCACATCGCAGACACTTTTTGGATTACGAAGTGAACGTCTAGGGTTTTTTTTTTTTTTTTTCGAAGCCTAATTGAAACAATCGCTCTCGCTTCGTCGCGCGCAGTACTTAGCTAGATCTTAACGAACGAATCGCGCGAAATCCGAAAGGGCCAATAAATTACTATTGGAGAAAATTGATTTAGAAAGTCGCGAGCGCCTCGGACTGGAATCTTCTAACAAGATCAATTTTCTAATCAAATGGCACGGCGCAAATATATACATCCAGCAACGCACAAGTGATAATTTACGCGAAACTGACACTTATGTCTGCTGCCGCAAGCGGGCGCTGTAAAAAATGCGTACGATGTACGCAATTCGACGAATCAGAAGGTTGGCTGTGTGCTCGCGAACTACGAGAAAAATAACGAAGTCGCTGCAGTCTCATAGACGACATGTAATTTCGCGCGATAATTCCATAGGTAGACTAGGCTCTGTCTCTCTCTCTCTCTCTCTTTCGCACTCGCTGCTACACATATCTTCACTCGTCTATCTCTATTTATTATTCCCGTTGAAATAAGTATACACATCTTACATGCAAGCTCGTTGACTTTTCCAGCAGAGTGACTAGCCATTAGTGCGAGAAGCCGCCGTAAAAGCCACTCGCAGGATTGACGTTTACAGAATTTATTGCACTTGTGTAGTGTGCGCGCAGACGAGCCGAGTGGATCCCAGACGATACACACTTCGTATAGCTTATAGGCAGTTGCCTTTTCACTTTGTTCCTTGCCGCGTGGGTTGCGCTCGTGGAAAATTTTCTTACAAAGAGAAATCATGCGCCTCGGATTTTTCATTTTCGATATTCTGATTGTGCCAGCCAGCGATGCAGTGTTCGCGATTCCGACGAATTTGCATAGACGCGTGCAAAGTATATATTGCACGGAAAGAAACGCTTACACGGGCACAGCACATACATTGCTAATATCGTTAACAGAAATAATCGATATAATTGATTGGATAACACGAGCTCTGATTAAATTATCCGACCGGATGTGCTTCGACGATTAAATACTGAAAAATAAATGATGAATTATGTAAGCACGAAAAATTCATAGATTATTCGTGTAGTTTCAGCCAATTTAATCTGTTTACTCCTTTAATGATAAGATCTATTCGCCTATGATTCAAAGAGTCCAAGTTTCAAGATTTATTAGCTTGCACATTCAACAAGTGATTATCAGTCGTAATTCATTTAATTTTTCATTTCATAGAGCTTTACAAGATTACAGACGTCGTTGCTCAAGCAATATCGAATGACATAATTACAGCGCGTGGTCGCAGTAACAATATCATCAAAAATCAAACAAAAACATTAATGATTCGAATCTACTTTTATGATTTGGCTGACGGCAAAAAGTCACGTTTTTAAAATGTAAAAATATACATTAATAAATGCGAAGAAAAAAGTTTTCGTCTACCTGGGCTGCTGCTATGTCATCGAAATAACTGGCATACTTAGCCGGGACCCGAGAGCGAAGCCTATAAAGCTGACGCAGGCAAGAAAAACGCGAGAAGGAGATCATTTTGACGCAAAGAAAAGTAAATCAAAACGGGTAGAGAAAAAAGTGAATCGCCCCGCGTATAGCATGTATTACCATTTAAGATGCGCTAAATTAAACGCGCGTGCGTTTCGAGAATTTGATGCGAGGCGCGCGACGATGTTAGCAAACGAGGGACAGAGTGGAGAGACGCGAAGAGCGAAAAAAGCGAAAAACGGAAAGCCGAACCCTGTGTACATTCCTTGTAACAAATTTTAAAACCAACAAAAACTCGAGATCGCGAGAGAGGGAGTGAGAGAGAGCAAAAGAAACCATCATCATCGTGAATGACGCCTTGATATTGCGCGTCTGCTGCTGCACCCCCCCCCCCCCCCCCCCCCNCCCCCCCCCCCTATAGCGCGTCCTTGTGTGCATCGATAATTTTTGTAACGACGCTATGCACCACGTTGCGCCGCGATGCCACGGCAAAAAGTAATTACCTGCAGCCTGATTATTTATCGGTGACGTCTGATCGTGGCTCGCGAATGGAATTCTCTTATTTAGAAATTTAGCTGACAAGAAGCGCACCGGGCACAAGAACACGACGAAGCGCCAGACGTTTATAATCGACGCGCGAGTGCAATAGATTAACGTAAAGAGAGTTAAATTAGTGCGGGCTGAAATGTTAACGCGGCAAAAAATTATACAGTCGTTCAGCGACTCTTTTCGATTCGAATGCGAATAAATCGAAACTCGCTAGATGGACACTCGCGGCAACAAGGTCGAATCGCAGCGTGTATAGATGGCAACGATGCGCGCGGATGTTTATTTTCGGTTAATATATTTAATTCGATAGTGAAATTCTAAATAATACATAATACCGTCTGGGCTTGCCAAAAGTTTATCTAGTACGTGCATCTGTGTCAAGTGCAACGGGCGCGCGCGCGCGCGCGAGAAGAGAGAGAGAGAGAGAGAGAGAGAAGCATTTGCATTTCGAAAGAAAATATATAGCCGAATAAACGATCGCAAAGTCGTACATCAGCGACAACCGAACGAATATCGACTTGGCCAGACACCAACGCTTTGGCCCGTCTCCCGCGGCTGCGCCACCGCCACCAACGTCGCAGTCGCTCGGCTCGCTTGATAAACAATCTATTCATACAATTTGTACGCCCATTTATTAAATTATTATTCTCGTGAAAAGTCAACTCGCTGAGTTATCTACTGTGAAACGCGTCACAATAATTAACTCTTCGAAATAGCCAACTAGATGGTAAAAAATCGATTCGTTTCGGAGTCGCTTCTAGTTACCACTCCGGGATGACATGGCACTCAAGCAATGGCTCTCGTATTAAAGTATATTAATAGAAAATCATCACGTACTGGACAGAAGAAGATCTTATCGTTTTACGCTCGCTCGGCTGCAACACTCGTACGTGTGCAGTCGCAAAATTTGCTAGCTTACTCTTTCATTGCGTATACGAGTGGATCGTCTCCCTGCGCGCGCACATACGAGTTGCGACTTGTCAAAAATAAACGCACCTCGCACCTCTCGTGCATTACCTTCGAAAATAAACGGTGAATCGCCGAGCTGAACGGCGCGCGCGCGGCGGCGCGTGTGGGAGCTACACGCACATGTGTGTGACTACCAACGCCCTGGGAGTGCGAAAATATAATATAGAAAATAGACGAGTGGCGCACGAGTCGAGGAAATAGTTTTGAAATTCATCCTCTATAGTCAAAACAGTCGACGTAAGTGAGAATTCAACCGGCAGTCGAAACATTTATCGCAAACGCATTGCGATATTAATCAACGAACTCGAGACGTAGTGTTTTCACACGTCGATGCTGTAAACTTAAAATCACTCGACGGCACGTGCCACTCTGTAATTACAAATTAGTGTAAAGTCTCGAATGCCGAAAACAGCTCACGTCGATGCGTACAATGCAAGGGAAAAAAACGAGAAATATTCTGTCTCAATCACGTGCAGTGGGCGCGAGTAAACACCTCGAGCGTGTAAACGAGTTGCAGAGAGGCCGAGAGCCGGCTGACGCACTCGAGTTCACGGAAGCGTTAGTCTCGATTAAGAGAGAATCGACAGGGCCTGGCGCAGTCGGCAGGCGCGAAAAACTTACCTCTGCCTCTCTCGGTAATATAAAGGCCGCAAAAGTTTCAGTGACATCGTTTCGTCGCTTCGACTGAGTGTCCGTACATGCGCGAAACTGGCCCCCGAGTGTCAGGGCTAATTGTGCTTTCTATGAAATCCACGTGTGATTACCGCGAATCGACGCGACTCTTCCTTGCTGAATAGCACGAGTCTCGAATTCAGCCTCTGCACTACTTTTTTATCGGGGGCCCCGAAAAATGCCTATCTCTGCCGGGCCCGCCAGCAGCAGCAGACACGCGCAAAAGAAGAAACAAAAGCTGCCGACGACGACGAAGCCGCCGTCGGGCCCAAGGAATTTTAATTATAAATTAGTTGATTAACTCAATAGTGTTTTTATCTACCCTCGACGACACTGTTGCTCATTCGCGAGCGCTGATGCCGGCCAATGCACCTGACCGCATACCTGTATTATTATACATCAACAGCAGCAGCAGCATAATCGGCAGCGGTTCTCTTTTTCACGGATCACTTTTAAAAATCATCAACACACCGGTCACGATTGATTGATTCGTTTTTACCAATTGACCGCTCTCTCATTTGAATGTTTCTTTGATGGAGTTTTTTTTTGGTGGCGGCGTTCGAATCTAATTTAGCGTGTTTTCAAATGCGCGCTCGCGAGTCCAACGATGACGATAATCGCGCGGCGCACGAGGAGCGCTGGCACAGGGACATTATGCACAAATGCATGACTACGGAAATAGACTGCACCATACCGGTTTTTGCGACTCGACGATTCATGCAAAATGCCCGCGCGTAGACGTGCTACGGCTGAATCGTCGCTTTTTTTTGCGCTGCGCTCCAATGGAATTCAAAAGTGATATTTCTCGTCATTTCGAGCTCGTCGATTTTTCAACATGACGCATATTGCAGATAATTCAAAAGTATCGATCGACTATGCTTATTTTAGGACAATTAAATCAACAATATGGCAAATATTTTATCATAGTTTATGATTGGATAAAATATTGCTCCACGAAACTGGTTTTTATGCAAATCGTCGAACACCCTCGTTGCTCTAAAACTAAAATACATCAAATATATAGATAAATTAATCGATGGCAGTAAAGCATACCGACAATCGCTCAGAAATGGCTCGAGAACACGACGATAAAGATTTTAATGTGAAATAATGCAAGTTGAGAACTTTTGCATACAAAAAATGTATTAGTATCAAATCAGAGTAAAAAAAAGTGAACGAACGAGAGTGCGAGTCATTTGGTACAAGGGTACGGCGTCGGCT